GACTAGTAAAAGTCCAAGACTCGATCTCCGAGGCCCACGACAAAAGCCCCACAGAGGGAACACAGGTAAGGTTCGCCAAGTGCAGCCACAAGCCAGGTTACCTGGTCATGACTTGCGCAGACTGGTTGCGGGACATCGTCACAACCATCCAACCTTAAGAAGGGGCAAACCTGAAAGCGTTGGAGGGTAACGATATCCCTAGGCCACTAGCCTGTATAACATTCGTCCCTGACGAAAGAGGACAACGGCCCGATGGGGATAAAGGCACTCAGTTCCATGCAGGTATACTTAAAGCTTGTGTGGGACTGTTTGGAAGCCGTAACAGAGCTGGGTAGTCACAACAGACCAACTTTAGCCTGGGTACCAGGCCACAGAGGACATAAGGCCAATGAAGAGGCTGATTTACTAGCCCAAGAAGGCGCCTCAAATGCTCTTATTAGCCCAAAACCCTTCTGTGGTGTAACAAAAACAACTATCAGAACATGTACAAAGCAGTGGATGTTTAAAAAATCTCAGGAGTGATGGAAACACTCTCCAGGACAGAGTCAGGCCAAAGAGTTCTTAAAAGGACCAAGCCTTAATAGGAAAAATTAGGTTTATTAACAGGGCATTGTAGGCTTAACAAACATATGTATAATATCGGTCTGATAGAAGAGACCTTGTGCCGATTCTGTCAGGAAGAGGAGGAAACAGCAGTACACGTATTGTGCTACTGCGAAGGTCTAACAAGACTGAGATTCCTTACACTTGGAGAAGAAAAAACAAGGGCAACTAGCTATACCGGAGAACTACTTCCCAGTCTATGGAGTCTACTACAAAAGACCGAATTAGACAAGGTACTCTAAACAACGATTTAAGGATATCCATAATAGATCTGAAAAGGTTGAGGTGGGGGAGGCTACATGGCCCACAGTCCTAATTAACTCTAATATCATTTACATATTAAAATTTGACATTTTATTACTAACTAACGTATTTGGTATAGTTTTATATGTATTTGGGGTCGAAATATTTAGCGGTCCTTTGTATGCAAATGCGTCAAAAACGCAATTGTGCGCATGTGAAGGACATTGTTCTTAAAGATTATTGGTTATACATATTTTATTTGTTTTAAAAGTACATTTTTTTATTAAAATGGTTTCACAATTTTTTTTTTATTAAAATGATGGAATACTCTTTACAGATTCATACCCACAAAATCTAACTACTTCCAAAGAATTTATTGACCACAAGAACAATAAAAAAGATAAAATGTAAAATTTTCGATATTTACATGATATATTGACCCCCATATTAAAAAAAAAATATTAAAAAACATTATATACCTACATCATATTTTAGTATACAACACATATATTTAAAGGTTTGCTTTTGATGACGTCATTACCAGTGATCGGGAATCCGAAATTTTTGGAACTCAGGGAATTTTTTGATCTTTGTTATATATAGTATTTATATCCAAAAGGACACGTTCGCCTCCTGCACTAAAATATTTTTATGATTTTTAATGCTATGCGACCGCACTAACGCTGGAAAGTCATTTGTTACTATTTCTGTATTCTGTCTGTCTTACTGAAGGTAAAATGTCACTTTTCACGTAATGGCCAAAACGTGAATTATTGAAGCCGAAGGGACCAACACGTATTAAACATTTATGGATACCTCGAAAAACTGGAAATGTTAACTGACAATATTTTCACAAAAGTGTATATTTTATGAAACATTTTTATAATTATCTTTTTTTTTATGGATTAACTTCTACGAATGTAAAAACACAAGTGCTTACTACATACAGTGGACGATGGCAGATTTAGTGTTTAGTTGCGGATTATGACTGTTTGGGTATTCGCAAGCTATAGAAAAATGTTCGAGAATATATTTATTATTACTACATATACAGGATTTCATGAATAACTGTATATATTTCAGATAAAGGGAATTAGGGTGAGTTTAAAATAAAAAAATTGAGAATTAGCTTATATTTGGCCTGATATTATGCAAAAGAATTATGTAAAAATTCCATGATCTACTAGGAAAAATTAGTATTGTTAATTCCAATATATAGAGCGTCTCAAAACTCGCTGCCAAACAAAAATTTCAGATATTAGACTTGATTTTCTTTTTTTTTAACCTAAACAGTAATGGAGGAAGATCTAGCAGTAGTTATATTGTTCCAGTGAGTGTAATTTTATAGGCAACTGTTATTATAACACAGCCTCTCATCTAATTTTCTGCCAGAAGTTATGCTTTTAGTCTTGTACCACCATATTACTGATAAGTAGGTTACAACTGGTACTACAACCTTAGTACAAAGCCAGAACGTGTATTTGTTTTTGTATAGACTTTTTTTGTAGATGGAACATTTAGAAGCTGTATTAAGAAATTTTACCAGTTCTATACTATTCGTGTAGACCTTGGGAGTAATTCCGGAAAAACCAACACATTTCCAGAATCTTCAAATTTAAACACCAGCCTGAGAATCCTGGAAACAAGAATCTCCTATACAGGCTGAACGCCGTAGCTGGAATAATAAATCAGAAAGTATCAGGCAAAACTATTACCTAGGTTAGGTTAGGGTTAAGTTGAAAATGAGTGGGATGATCTCATCGCCTTCCACTGCGACCCAGATGAGTCTATTGTGGCTTATGACTAACTTATAGTTCACCGTACAAGCGACACCTTTCGATAAAGGTCATTGTTGAATTGGATGAGACTTGTTTAAAGTCGGTAGGCTCCAGTCGGGTGAATCCGAAGATCTGGAACCTGGTTCTTTCCAGAGCGGAGCAAGTACATAGAATGTGCTCTGCACACTCGTTTTCCACGCTGCAGAATCGACAGTCCAATGTTTGTTGCAGACCTATCCTTCTCATGTGGTTTTCTAGATGGCAGTGTCCTGTCATCAGTCCAGTGAAAATGCGTAGATCTTTCCTACTCCATTCTCGGATCTGAGCAGAGGCGTTCATAGAAGGGTTGGTTATAAACGCCTTCGAATAGGTTATCCCTGGGGTATCTCTCCAGTTCGTGAGTGTTGCACCCTCCGTCCATTTTGAGATAATTCCTTTCGCAGTGCTTTTTGCAATGCCCAGGAATGGTTCTGGTCCTATGAACACAGATTTGGTTCCTCTTTTAGCAAGTGCGTCGGCTTTTACGTTGCCCTCCACACCACTATGTCCCGGAACCCAGATCAAAGTAAGTTTGTTCTGGGCACCGAGGCATTCCAGGGCCTTAAGGGCTGTCTGGCTATCTGAAAAGATCATTATAATCTTGTTTGCGGATAGAAAATCAATCAACTCTCTCGCTCCCAATTCTATGGCAATTATTTCTGCTTGGAAGATCGTGGCCAAAGAGCTCAGGTTTATTGATATGTCAACTCTAGGCCTCTTGCCGAAAACTCCCGCTCCTACTCTTTTTTCAGTTTTGAAGCTGTCCGTGTACAATGCATAGTCTGTCTAGAAGAGGGTTTATTCCCCTCTGCTCCATGTCTCTCTCTGGAATGAGGACGCTGTATGGCCTTTCTATGTGCTGTCGGAGAACTAGCGAGTCCATGACCATGCCGAGGATGAGGTGGTTATTAATTTCACTCATAAGCCCCGCCTTGTTCCATTGCAGTTCTTCGTAACATTGACTACCCACCTTCAGGAGCCTGTAGGAGACCATGCTGGCCTTCCTTTCCAGCCGAATGTGGAGAGGGTTTAGGTCCAGCATGGTCTCCATGGCACTCGTAGGTGTGGTTGATATTGATCCAGTTATGGCGAGACACGCAAGCAGACGATAGAGCCGTACGTAACCATGACTGATGAGTAGGTTACAACTGGTACTACAACCTTAGTCCAAAGCCAGTACGTGTATTTGTATTTGTATATGGAACATTTAAAAGCCGTAGTAAGAAATTTTACTAGTTTTATACTATTCATGTGGATCTTGGGAGTAAATCCGGGAAAACCAACACAATCCTGGAAACAAGAATTTCCCATACAGGCTGAATGCCGGTGCTGGAATCTTTGGACTCAAGTCAACAACTACGATTCTAGGAGAATACGCAACAGTGTTTCAGACTTAATTAATAACCATACAATACTGTGCAAAATAAATAAAAAATCAGAAAGTATCAGGCAAAACTACTGCCATCTACTCTGATAGCCAAACAGCTCTAAAGGTCATTCTTTCACCAGATAATAAATCAAGTCTGACGGAAGACTGCTTTGAAGACCTGATAGAGCTAAGTAGTCAAAACCAGTTATTTTGTAAATTTATAGGTTAGGATACACAAACAGAATTCTCAACCGGTTCTAAATCACTTGTCGAGTCTAAAACCATTAGTTCGTGCATGCATTCTAAGTAATTCTGATTCATCTTCTGAACTCCTGTGAACGTTTTATTGAAACAAACCTATTTTATGTATTGCACAGTGATAAATATGCAAGCGATCAATTGTAGGCTATAAATTAGTTATGCGATCAATTGCTGTGGAGGTAAACTACTAGCGATCAATAATTGTTGGTGGTAAATTGCTAGCGCTGAATTGCAGGCGGTAAATTTTCCTAGACACGAAGTAAATTACTTGAAGGCGTGTCATCAATATTCAAAATAGATCGTCGTTGCTCAGAACAAAATGAAGCCATTGATTACAATGTAGTATTAGTAAGAAACTTTGTTTGAGAGTTGTAGTTCCGCGGTTTATAAAGGAAAGCAGGAAGCCCTAAATTGTTAGAATTGTAAATTTGTAGTTGTAAAAGGATAGCAACTGTTTGAATTGGTAGTTACATATTTATAAGAGTATTGTAATCCCAATGATTTGAATTTTTCGGATTATCCTCACCTGTAAGTCTAATGGCACGATTAATTATCTATAAGTTTCGTGTCAATATAGATTCAATTTAAAGCATAAGAAGTACGAAAAACATGATTGAAAATGCTCTGATATATTCAAGTTTTTTTTTTATCAAAATGGGTTTCATCAAAAGTAATTAAAATATTAAAATATTAAATTGCAAACTTACCCGACACTCTGTGACAGCCTCAAGTCATCACTGCAAACGTTGAAAGTGTAATTTGTTTCCAATGGTATATTTTTTTCCAAAACGCATCCGAAAGTATCTTCCCAATATTGTTCAAACCAAGGATTTCGAGTATTTCGTTCGGGTGTTAGCGACATCATGTATTCGTCAAAACCCGGTATATGATTCGACTGTAATTCAACTGTGATTGCCCCTTCTGCTACGTCCTCCAGTCCTTCAACCAATTTTTGTTGTTTACCCCATCCATCGCTCGCCACCCAATAGAAGGTGTGACTGGCATTTAGCCTCTTAGCTGCCTGCAGAATCCTCCTGCGAAAATCACGTTGAGTAAACTAATAAATCAGACTAAAAGAGCTAGTGCGATAGGCAGTGGCGTACGCTTAAAAGTTTCAATTAATAAAAATTCTGCCATGTTTATTGAAATGAACATATCCGATTTTAGTTTTGCTAAGCTTTTTAAAAATACTGGCAAATTGATTGAACTGAACGTTAGTTTTTAAGGTTGAATTTATATGTACAAAGAGCCAGGATATACACTGGTATAGTCATTCAATTAAAGCGACAGCATTAATGTTTAATATCTATTTAACAAAAATTGGCCTTATTGATAAAAATTATTAAAAACCTCTAAATTAGTTATTGATGATTAGCAACTATGATATATACATATACAACAAGAGAATACAATTTTATACAATATCAAGTATTTTACACATTGATTTAGAATGAAATTAAATTTAATTATTAGAGAGAGAGACATAAAAAAAGTGAAAATTTGAAAAAATGCCCTTCATACAATCTCCTTTTGAGGAAAAAACTCGAGAGAAAACTATCTTTCGAGGAAAAAAGACTCGAGAGAAAGCCAGTTTTCAAAGAAAATATGTGTGAAATTATGGCTAAAGAAATTAGGCGCGGAAAATTCGTATTACTCCTAACAAGAGAATAATACAATTTTATATAATATCGAGTATTCTACATATCGATTTAGAATGAAATTCAATTTATTTTTAAGAGAGAAAGAGATAAAAAAGTGATGAAAAAATGCCCTTTATACAACCACGTCTTGGGGAAAAAAACTCGAGAGAAAACCACCTCTCGAGGAAAAAAGACTCGAGAGAAAGGCACCTCTCGAGGAAAACATGTGTGAAATTATTGGTAAAGAAATTAGACGCAGAAATTTGAAATATTCCTAAGAAGAGAATACAATTTTATACAATATCGAGTATTTTACATATCGATTTAAAATTAAATTAAATTTAATTTTAAGAGACCGAGAGACATAAAAAAAGTTAAAATTTGTCCTTTATACAACCACCTCTTAAGGAAAAAAAAAAACTCGAGAGAAAGCCACCTCTGAAATTATTGGTAAAGAAAACTCGAATTACTCCAGCTTGTTTAAAAATGATTATACATTGATTGACTAAAAGTAATATTAATAACTTTAATAGTAACTTTAAAACAATGACACTTAAACTGTCAAAAGTCTATAAAAACGGAAATTTTGATAAATTTTTTTTTGTTTTACCCGGTATTGTTGAAGACTCGTTATTTATAAAACAATATTCTTTAATAATCTTTTTAAAATAGAAAAATCTCCACGGGTAAATATTGTATACATTTCAAAATAAAAACACTTCGTTATCATCACGACCAACATTAATTGGGTCGTAAAGATACCCTTATTTTAACGAAGACGTCGTGACGTGCCACCCTCGGGCTATTTATCTATGTGAAATAAAGTTTTTTTATTGGTTCTAATAGGATTTTATTTCATAAATAAAAGTAGTACGTAATATAATTTTTCTTTCGGTCCAGAGAAAAGTGGTCGTGACAGTATACGATGTAAAAGATTTGTTTTAGACTTTTTAGAGGAACAAGCTTAATCTTTTTTCCAATTTGTTATTATTTATTATTTATGTTTCGTTTTCCTTCTAGATAGTTTATTCCCAAAAGAGTCGTTGACTCCAAATTGAAATATGTTATTCATACTGTCTTGTCGTTTTTTTACAGAGTTAGGTCTTAATATTAATGTATTTTTTTTTTATTTATGACCAAGTTTTTAATGTATTGATGGAATTGTTATGTATTCATAGGATTATAGTTCTTTTAATTTATTTAGAAAATAGTTTTTTCTACACCCACATAGCTATTTTACGTACATACAAAGAGCGAATCCTGTTAGATGCTGTAAACCAAAAAACGTTAAAAAACCAGACTGTGAATAATTTAAAATTATTAGTAGTAGAACAAAAAACTACTAACCAACTAATGAACGACAAAATTGTATCTCTGGAAAATGAAATTAAAATCGAAAAAATTAAATACTTGGATCTACAATTAAAATTTATTGAATTGAAATATAAAGCCGATGAAATAGAAAATAAAGATAAGAAACAAAAAACTTGTTTAGTGCCGATAACGAAGTACCTGTTTCTAGGTAAACTATAGATAAACTTAATTACAAAAACAAAATCCCTAGTTCCCAAATTCTACAAAGAAATAAGAAACAAAATATTAGTTATCAAGTAAATAAACAGAATATCGATTATGCTGAAGCAACGAAAATAGTAACTAAGGAAACTTATGAAAACTTAGAAAAAGGACAATTAGCTATTATGACTGAGGTAATAAATGGTACGGATGATACAAATCCTGTTGCAACAAATACATAACAGTTTAAAAATCAAGAAATACCATTCGAAACAGTAAAATACAGAAAAAGAAGATAATCGAAATGCCACATTGATGTAGCAGAAGTAAATGATGCGGAAGAACTAAACAGTTTTGTAGGAAGAGCTAAAGAAAAACGATTGTGGCTTTTTATTAGCAAGGTTAAAGATCACGTCACAGAAAATATGGTCATAACACATCTAGAAAAAAAATTGTGACAGAAAAGATCTGTGAAGAAATTATCAACATACAAAAAAACTGCTAATAACAAATGTTTTAAGATCAGCATGCAATATGATCTTATGGACCAGCGCATTTGGCTGTCATGCGAGAGGTCCCGGGTTCAATTCTGGTATTTTAAACTAATTAAATTAAATCTTTTTTTTTCACGTTTGTTTTATTTTATTCGTTTTTGGTTCCGCCATCCAACTAAATATTATATAGTGAAATTGAAACGGCAAGTCGATCAGGACTTTCATTATAGAGTTATCGTGTAGACAACTATTGAATTATTTTCGGACTTCGAATGACCGGAAAACTTGAGAAAAACGTTCCAAAGTGGAGATTAGAATTTGTTTTATCTGTATACTGATTTGTCTAGCAGTTTCAGATATGAGACACAAAGAATAATAGTGGTCTAACTCCACTTTTTTTAATATAGTTGCCCTCGATTTAAAATGTGTACTTTCAGTATAAAGTTGGTCTATCTACATATTTTACTTTTTGACCGAAAAATGTCGGTACTCATTCCATAATAGTTTTTCAAATTCATTCATATAGTAAAGTGATTATTCTATGGACTGAATTTGCATCGATGATTCATTCGTTTCTAGTTATAATATTAAACGATCCTTGTAAATTAATAATAATTTTACAAATACCTATAAACAGCGTTAATATAATTAATACTAGTTATTAGCGATTTAGTAAATTATACAATTTACTTTACAGACAATAGGCAAATATCGCATTCACGGAATAGTGCGCCAAATACGTCTTCAATGTTCAAGTGAGACAACAGGTTGTGTCCGGTCCTTATTATGGATCCTTGCCAAGCACAATTCACTACCAACTTTTTTCGTCCACTTACTACCGAGGATGGAACAATTATCACAACCGCTAATTGAAAAGCTGCAGTATTTGCCAAAATATTCTCGGCAAATTCTAATTTAAATGTACGTTCATTTCAAATTTAATGAGAACATTCTATCGGCATTGTTTTAATTCGCCTTTTTTTTTAACTTTTCTACGAGAGATGTATTTTCCAATTAACTAAAACACTTTCCGATTTATTCATGTGTTATTTTACTTATAGGTATAGATATTTTGGGATAATTAATTGCCGTCTATCATACGGTACTTTACTTTGGACAACTCTTGTCATTCGGATAGAGTATTTATAATGCAAAAAAAGCAATTATAATGTTAGCTGGTATTAGGTCAAGGAATATCTATATATGTAACGTGGCACTTAGGCCTCACTAGACCCATTGTGCATCGTCCTAAGTAGATAGGCACCTACTAAATCGTGAGGCAGCCTACAGATTTAATGTAGTTAACAACGTCGCCAAGAGATTCTTCTCTTATATCGGCCGGTGTTAGCCAATTCTCGTCGAATACAAATCTTTTAATAAATGAGAACGTGAGGCAATAGTAGAAGATACTCTCTATGGTCTCATCTTCTGGTTCGAATCCCTTGCAGAGTGCGGATTCTGACACTCCATGTTATGAAGAGGTTTTCGTAACTTGGCAATGACCAGTCAGAATGCTTGAGATCAGATGCAGATTCTGTCTAGTAATAGTCAATATTTGTTAGCTGTAGTGTTGTCAGGATAACTTAAAAGCACCCTAGCAAGTCTACAACTCCTTATTTTATCCCATCTTTCCTTGAATTTTACAAGGGAATGTTCTTTAATTAGGTTTGTCACTACTGATTTTCAGTCTAATAGACGAACCAGGTCCAAAAGGTATTTGAATAGTGAATCAGCAAGACGGTTACCTTTTGAGGTAGCGCGACCTTTGATCTAATTTAAGTTGACCACATTTTTGATGGATACTTCGGCCAAAGCATCGTGACATTCTAGTACTAATAGACTGTCAGATAGTGACCGATTTAGGTGTCCCATTTTCCCATACAAGCCTCGAAGAGGGTTGAAAAATAGAATAAAAGAAAATTTACGAATGGCTCTTGGGGATAATATATGGAAAATTCGATTTTGATTATCAGAAAAATTTTTCGATCCCAAAATGCACTTATACATTCAGGTCATTTAAGAAAATATATTTTTCGGAGTAGTGACAATGTACGTTTTCATACATTCGATGGGCTTGTGTGGAAAAATCTGGTAAAATCTCGATTTTTTCTTAGAAGATTACGCCCCTATTTTAACCCTTTAGCAACTTGCAACATTGAAGCCTTTGGTTTTCCAAAGCCTAGTTCAATTAATTAATCATATAGTGAAAACGGCTTGCGAGGAAATACGGGAAACAAATAACCTTTCATTTTTGTTGGGGAAAATCGGAAATAGCTATTCTCCCTACCTCAATTAGGCCCCCATTTAAGCCCGGGCCCCGGGAATTTGTCCCGGCTACCCCCCCTCTAGTCGCCCTTGCACAAAAGAACTAGAAATAAAGCAAGTTTAGAAGAACTAGTGATCGATACAAGTTTCTAAAACGTTTCACCGAGGCAAGCCAGGAACAAACAAAGAATAAATAGCATCAAAGAAGAGTTAATCAGTGCAACTGTGATTGAATCTAACTCCTTGAAAGGTTTGAAGAACAAAGTCGTTGAAAAAGATTCACTAAAGGCGGCTGAAACAAAAATAGCTTCAGATGATATCGATTTAGAAACAAAGCACTTCAATCGAGGATAGAATGTATTATTCCAAAAAAATCCAGAAGTAGAATATCATCAATGGAACGAAATATTGACAACAATAAATCAACAAATGTTATAACAGAGATTGAAATAGAACACCCGAGACTTACCAGAAGCAGAAGTACTATTGATAGAAGATGATCAAGATCTGATAGTGAATATATCATGCGAGCTTTCTTCTAGAATTACAAGAAGTAAAAGCAGGCATGACAATTGAAGGCGACAGCAATACCGAAGAGTATTCTTCAAAAACTAGTGAAAGAAAACGCAGTATAACTAAGGAAGATACTTTTGATTTAGAAATTGAAAATATAGGTAAGAATGATATAGATGCTATAGATGTAAATAAAATTTAACCAAACAGAAAAAATAATAGACAAGTCTGAAATTCAAGTTAACTTGGAAGATAAATTAGATAAAGATGCAGCTGAGATTCGGGAGAATGATGTCAGTATTTCAAACATAAGAAAGTATAATAAAAAAGAAATTTTACTTATATTTATGTTTTTATGTAGTTTTTATATTGATAAAATCATTGTTTTTTACAATAATTGTTTTCTGACTTTGTAAAGTTCTTAATAAATGCTTATCCATCTGTCTGTTGATCTAGGTACCTATAATAGTACCTTTTCGAATATTTCCCTCTATTCTTTACTGTTTTTGTTTTGATCTTCCATCTTTTGATAATGTTTCTTTGTCTATTTTTTCTAGCTGTTTATATGGTCTCAACTTTTAATTTTTTTATTTCCTACATCACTTTTGTTAACTGTCACCTCAATCTAGGTATTCGTATTATCTTAAATGTATTACATTGTTGTTGCTGTACTTTAAATAAAAATGTATTCAAATCACTAAAAAATCATATAATATAATTAAATGCAATGAAGTTAGTTTTTTCTAATTTTGATGTATACAGTGACAAAGTGTCAAAATGATTTAATTTATAAACTCAGTAATTCCAAATGAGTAGAAATAGCAAGAAAATTTTCCCATTTCATCGAAAAATAATAATAACAGTAATTTTCTCAGTTTATTTCGACAAAAGACCATTTTTCACTTTGTTTAAAAATAAAAACTAACATTATTTCAACCGGATTAACGGTATACAACTGGTCCACATTATCTACCAAACACACAATATCCCTACGACCTAATATGTACACAACGTAAGTGCACTAGTCTTTGACACATTAAAGACACTTCTCCAACTTTGAGTTGATGTAACAAACTAGAGCAAATGTTAGTAGGAGTAGGACTTTAATTAGTTGGCACTTAGTGGGTTAACAATAGATTAATAACATTATTGTTACAAATATAATAGGTTTAGTTCCTATGTTTTTTCCAACATTGATGATTGGCTATTTTAAATCTGGATATGTCTGATTTTGACTGAACTATCAATGCTTACAAGCAGATTTATTTAGGTTATGTCTACTTTTGAAAAAAAAAACAATTAAAATATATACCAAACTGACAAAAAAATCACCTCATTCGAGTCCACGCGGTTTAACCGCCGTTTACGCATCAAACATGTCATTAAAAAAATATGAAGTAAAACGACGACAAAGCTAAATTATTTTTGAAATTGCTTACATGTCACGGTATCAAATCTTATTGTAAAACTGACTGGCAGAAACAAGATTCCAGAGATAAATTTTAGGATTACAACCAGAGAGAACAGATATATTTTCTTAAAGCAGGGATATATAACGGAGGAATGAGAATAGTAGCAGGAAGTTGCAGGAAGCCAGACCCTCTTCCGTTATTTCTCAAATAAAAATATACTACGTTTGACATATCTAGACGGGGCAGATGATAAGTTATAGCCAGAATTTGTAAAAGATGTTGAAATATACACGTTAACGTTTGAAAAAATGATGACACTTATTTTAAAATGGCAATTTTTACAAGAAACATCTGATGTATCCAGCACATGACATTCTAGTAAAGTTATCAAATATAATATTCAACACGGTGTTGTCAGCTGGAATTTCTTTTAAAACGCAACCTCTGCACTGGTACCATGATATGGACTTGCTGGATGGAAGTAAAAAAATTGTAATTTTTCAAAATTTTATTTTTTCTTAAGGAACGCTCTATATTTTATTTCATTTATACAGGGTGTTCGACCGATAACGCTCTACCACAGGGAGCTCTAGCATTAACAAAATTATTATTAACTAATACATAATCTATCAAAGTTTTACTATTATTTGTAATTCGTGTAGGCTCAGTGATTAATTGGTCAATTTCATATTGTAAAACATTGCTTCAATTTTATTGCTATAAAAACAGTCATTTGGATAATCAAAGTTAAAATCGCCAATTAACAAACAGCGTTGATTATTACATATTACATAAAAGGCTCACGGATTCAAAGAATTTTAGCCTCGGGGGACCATTTTAATTTGGTGGTGGGCATTTCCCCCTGGAACCGCCCCCACCAGGTGCTGTGTCCTCCATCAGAAAAACGTTTTACATGAAATAGAGTGTTTTTTATTAAGCTGAAAGTACGCCACTCCACTATCGTTCGATGATTAAACGATGTTAAAGATTAAAGGATTAGGTATATAAAATCATAACTTACCGTGCATCCTCAGCCCTCGTAAACAAGACAACACCTCTGGCATTTATTTTCTTTTTCAGCTTTATAATGATGTTATCGAATTCTTTATCGTCGGCAGCACTGGGTACTTTCTCAGCGGTGGCGATGCATACGTTCCTTTCCTGTGCTTCCCTGTGGAATACTTCAATTCCATATTCTCCATAGGACCCCTCTGAATAGATTGTCGATACATAGGACCAATTGACACTTTTGACAATGTCGACTAAAGCGCTCGATTGAAAGGTGTCTGGAGGGACAGTCCGGGCGAAATATTTAAATCTCGTTTTGTCGCTTAAAGCTTTTGCAGTAGACGCTGGGGATATTTGTGGAATGTGAAATAGTCCTAGTAGATTGGCAACTTGAAGGGAAACTGAACTATAAGATCCGCCCACAACTCCAACTACGGGCCCAGAGTAATTGTTTCTTGGCAACGGCAACTGTAACAAACGTATTTTCTCAATAGTCACAACAATTAATGCAAAAATATAAAACAAAAGTAATTTAGTAAAATATTATTTCAAACATATCCGAAAAATAGGGTGAGTTCCTTGGAATTCCTTAAATTCCAATATTATCATTACGAAATGATAAAAACTATTTTTAACCCCCAAGGTGAAAACAAATTTAAATGTATCAAAACCGTAAACATATAATTCGATATGCGGTGATATCGAATTTTACGCAGGATAAAAAAGAATGCCAAATGAATTAAAAAAATAATTCTTTTGTTAGATGGCAAAACCAATAATATTTTTGGCAATTAACATAATACATACAAATTGATGTATTTTTAGCTTTTCTATGCAAAACGATATACCTGTGAATACTATCTCTATACTGTACATGTTCAAAACTAGATATGTGTTAGGAGAGGGTGGTAACACTAAACTCGACTATTTAACACAACTATTTATTATACTCAACTAAACTGTATAAAGATTCGCACAATAATGCCATATATCTAAATTAACGCTTATATCACTTTCTGATGATTTCAACTTATCGCCTAATGAGTCATAGTACTAGATATCCCAGTGGCGTTTCTTACGGGGGTTGCTAACATATGGCATATTTTCAGTATTTAAAAGTGGACAAATATTACATAAATAATATATGTATTGCTTACTTATTTTTACCTTTTTCAACATATCTAGATTTGCGATCTAACTACAGAATTATGTTGTAACGTTAGAATATAAAAAATTTCTCAAAAATTACAAAATTGCCCATCGTATAAAAATATTCATTTCTCTCGTAATTTTGGCTAGAATATTTGTCACCGAAATCTTTTTGACGTTAGCAAATTTCGTTTAAATAATTTAATCCTCCAATATTGACGGATTAGAATAAAATCGGATTAAAAATTATTTTTATTACGGTGCTTAATTAAAAATGGTACTAAACGCGATTAAACCCTTAATCTGGATTAAACGTGTACGGTGCATATGGGCGTTAACGAACATGTTAAGCAATTTCATAATACCCGTAATGTACGGAATTTTTTTTAAATTTAGTAAATTAAACACTTAGTGACCTAAAGGCTACGGCCAACATGTCATTCTTTCGATTCTTTTTTAAAAATTATTAAGACCCAACGAACAAGCCAAGAAATCGTATAAGACCCGTATGGGGCAGATAATTAAAAAACCTCTTCGAATCTGGGGGCTTTAAAATATACTATTGTGTCTTAAGTCCGTTTTATGTGTTTATCATATTTTTTGCTTCTTGATTTCTATTTTATGGTCAAAATTTCATGGTTTTTATATTTTTCTTCATAAATAGTTTTTAACTAATACGTTACCTCTTCTAATTTGGGAGCGTTAAAAGTATATTGTATTTTAACATTCGAAGTAGTTGTTTATAACTAGATGCTAGTGTACACATAGTACATACATATTGATCTATAATTTCTCTTTATTATGTAAAAAGGTAGAAGTTAATGTTTTACGAGCTATATAGTAATCTACTTTACATCTTGCACATATTGTCCTTCGCCTTGGTACCAATGGTAACGACTTGCCGTGCCATCTATTGATTGATTTATTATGTTTTTTGGGTTTATGCTCATGTCATATACGATTTAAGTACTTACTTTTTCTAGATATTTAGTTTATTAAGAGATATTAAGGTTATAATGTAATAATTTCGGTAGGATTTAAATTATATTTGTATTAGGTTTTCCTGATTGATAGGCACGTTGGTTTGTATAAAATGGTTTATCAGAGTGGTTAGCCGGACATGCTGATCAATCAGATTTTTCAATCCGTTCAATAGAAATGACGTCAGAGTTATTGGTCTATAGGCCTATGCCACGGCATACGTTGGTTTAGGTATAAAGACAACTCTGCTTTGTTTCCAGGTATTTGGTACATGTTTATGCACCAAACTTGCCCTGTAGAGCCTACAAATATGCGGGGCCAGCATTTCTATTGCCTATTGCAAAAGCACAGGCTGGTCTTGGTGATTTGCATGGATTCAAGGTGCGTATTGCCCATCTTATTTTCTCTGTTGTGATTACCTGTTTAGCAGATTCTCACTCTTGGCTGGAGACTCTTTTTTGAGAGTTCTAGTTCGTGTGGGTTTGGTTTGCTGCATTCAAGTTTGTTGTGCAAACTGGAAAATGAGTTTTAAGAAGTAGTTTTAATGTTTCCATTCCAAGCTTAGTCACATTTTGGCAACTTTAAGTTTATTACGCCAACATGTATTTTTGGACATACAATTTATTTCAGAAAAAACTTAAGTCCCTAAGCATCGTTGGTTTTATAACGATTTAAAATATTCATTATATTCTGAAACAACCTTAGTCTCGGAAAAAAAAGTGATTCAAATATAGTTAGAACCTAATTAAAGTGTTTATAGAAACTTTAACTAAACTTTAGCTTGAAGTTTGATTATTAAAGTATGCAATATCGAACGCAGGAGGGGTGGTAGGTATGTAGATGTTGGCGTTGTACACAAAGTATATAGATGGCCATGTGCTCGTAGTGCCTATACCCCATGGCTCGTATATTTTTTGTCCTAATCCATATATACTGTTCGATACACCGATTTTATCTCCTGGTCAATTTCCGTTTTTTTGTGGTTATCTGATTTTCACACATTTAATATTTGTTACCACTTTAAATACCGTTTCTTCAACTATTTTGCTCTTTTGTATGTTTCTAGGATAATTTTTTGCAGTGTCTGATCTGAATAATTTGATTAAATATATTATTTTTAATAATGTCAACCTAGACAATTTTTGATAACGCGGCTCAAAGTGTTATTGGTTCTGGATTCCAAAGATTATTGTCAGTGATGATGAAAGGATCGCTGTAGGGTCGTTTCTAAAGGCGCTTTTATGATGGTATATGGAGTATGCACGTACGATTATCGATGGATAAAGTCGGATGAGAAATGTGAGGTAGTCAGCGGGAGCGGAGTTTCGAACAAGAGTCGCTAGGAAGTTTTTTCTATAAATAGAATGGTATTTCTTATTTCAATTTAATATTAAACTTCGGTGATATACGAGGATTGTTCGCTAACTAAGTGGCTTAACACAGAAATAGCGCCAATTCGGAGGAATTTTATTGCCTTTCAGTAAAATTATCTTTAAATAGGATAAATTTGTCAATTAGTTTTTGACAGTATGCGAAAATGAACGTTTCGGTGTTTTGAGAACTGTGATAACGTACTTTCATTTGAAAGGCTTAACACCAACTAAAATCACACAGACCTATGAAAATCAACTCCTTCGTTATCAATGGTTCAAAACTGGATTGCCCAATTTAAGCGAGATCGTATAAGCACAAGTGATGAACCTTGTTGTGGACGTCTAAAAAGTGCTACTGGATGACCGTCGAGTAAAAGTGAGCGATATAGACATAATGGGTATCTCAAATGATAGTGTTCAAAGAATTTTAACTGAAGAATTGGAGATGAAAAAATAATCGGTGCGTTGGGTACCGCGATTGCTCACACCGGTGCAAAAACAGAATGGACTATAACAGTCAAATTTTTTTGTGTACATTTATAACATTACCACTTATAAAGTACTTTAACAAAATTCTACCATTCAGATATCACTGGAAGAAATAACAAGCCTTACATTTTTAGAGGTGAGGATAGTCATATGTGTGATAAGGCTTTGAGTAAAGGTAGTGGAAGAAAAGTCCTTTATTTCTCACAGTGTTAATTAATCAGCAACCGTCACACCTATATGGATAATTATGAAGTCTATGTATTGCAAACTGAAAAAAATATATTTAAGAAAGATGAAAATTTTACAAAATAAAAAACTAAAGACGAAAAAGAATTAGAAATTAATTAATAATTTGACTCATCGTAACATATCCATTAAGGACCCCAGCTACATAGGGTAATAAACTTACCATTATAAGAGAAGGTCACAAAGTAATACAAACGACTCAAAGAATCGATTTTAAAATAGAACAGAGGTGAAAGTTGCTTCTTCAGGTTGAGAAAACTAATAATACCAACAGTGAATCAATAAAATAAAAACTACATTAAAAAAATAAAACATGCAACATTTACAACGGCTTACAATTTGGAGTTAAATTTGATTAAATTTTTTTGAAACCCCCTTATTAATAAGAAACTTGAAGAAATAAAAATTCAAAACTAAAAAGGTATTTTGTAGACAATAAATTTAATTTACTTTTACTTCAAATTTTTTTTCTTTAATGTACAGAATGAGTAAGTCCGTAGCCTGGGACACACCCCGTATATTATTTTGAAAAAATACTTATATACCAGAATGGGTAGAACTGGCCAAAATAAAATTCACCCTAACGTGCCTACACCACTAATAGCTTTCCCTTTCATTCTACCTGATAAAAACCGATATACTGATGAGTCAGGGATTTCCGGCGTTTATATGTGTGTTGCATCATTAGTAAAAGGCTGATATTGTGCTGAATATTATTTTTATCAGAACTTATCTAATTAAAATTACCTACTTTTGTTTGATTTTTTTTAAACCTGCTATAATGTTCTGGAATGTAGTTGCTTTCTAATATATGAGTTATTTAAAAATCTCACAATTCACAACGTCTCTAAATACTACTCAGCATCAATGATAAGATTAAAAACACAACACGGAAGATATCCCTATCATTTAGCTAAATTAGGAATTGTCTACTCAGCAGTATGTAATTGTGATAATGTATCGATAGCAGAAGACCTAAATCAAATATTTTTTAATTGAAACAATCATAAAGCCAAGACCAAAAGCCTATATAATTCATTCATTCAGTTGAAATTTAAACCACCCTTAAGTATTCCTTATTTGTTAAGTCAGGACAGCAAAATCATTAATAACCTCCTAATTGACTTCCTTAAGCAAATCAAAATACATTTATAAGTATAACTATAAGCTGAGGTAGTAATTTTCTTTAAAAAGTCTATGGCTAACAGATTTAATTCTA